GAAAACAGGGAAAAACCCCCGGGGACCAAAAAAAAAAAAAAAAAAAGAAAACACCATTTGTGGAAGAAGAGGAAAAGAAGCATCCTAAAGGAAAGTCCCCTGCAGACTTCTAGCTTAGGGCAGGCTGAGTAGGCATCTCTGCAGCTCTGCACTGCAAGTTACACACGAGCAGGAGGATTAACAGCAAGGTGCTCCACAAGCTGCTCCTGGGCCAGAGTGACCCAATCTCCTGCTCTCTGCCCAGCCCCACACCAACACCCATGCTGGCCCCACACCAACAGCCATGGTGGCTGCCGCAGGCCACTTCTGCATGTGGCTGCAGAAGAGCCAGATCCACACAGCAAGGTGCCTAGGCAGGCCTCTCAAGGGCAGCAAATTGTCATGCACCACTAATATGCCTGAAGTCTCAATAGACTATCTATGTCTTCTAGAGAAACAACAAATCTGATGGTTAATGATACTTCTCATGTCTAAGTGTGATGTGCCTTACCAGTAGAACAGCACATTTTGAAGCCTTCCCTCCCTCCCAACACACACACACTCCCCATGAGTGTCTCAGTACATTTCTGTTTCAACACTGAGTTTGTCACAGAAAGCAAAATCATGACTTTTTTCTTACATTAACAGCTGTCAAAAAACTGCCACCCTTAAAAAATAAAGAATAGTAACACAGCATGAAGGGAAGGGTGAGTATAGGTAATGAAATATGAGGAAAATGTTTTAAAACAATCCAATTGCAAGTCTTGTGAGGCTGCAGTCAAGGAGTGCAAAGTAATTCACGAAGAAAACTGGCTCACAAAATAAACATGCACAGCTGGCCAGGGAATTCTGCACTTCGTGGTGATCTGAATCACCAAGATTCAAATCAAATGAAAACAAGACTTAAAATAGAGAATAGGATGCAAAACTTGCCCAATCAGAGAGCTGCAGTAACTCAGGCTCTCAGATAAATTTGTTCCAAAGCTCTCACAGAAGGAGGGGGGCTAACACGGCACCTGACAGCCAAGAACCTCCCTCCCAAGCCAGCAGCCCTGTGACACCCTTCTTTCTGCTCTGATTTCTGATGCCATCAGAGCGCCCGGAGCAAAGAGGCGTTGCAGAGCTGCTGGCTCTCCAAAGCACAAAGCGCTTCAAAGCCAAGGGGTGAAACCCTGGCCACGCTGAAGTCGGTGGGAATTTTGCCACCAGCCTCAGCGAAGCCAGGAGTTCACGCGGGGAGTTCGGGCAGCGCCGCTTTGCTGGCAGCGCAGCCAGCGGCGCGCAGAGACGACGCGAGGGGAGCGGGGACCCAGGCAGAAACGACTGTGCACCGCACCGAGAGGGAAGCACAGGAAACCTCTATCCAGCTGAGAAGGCAAATGGAGAGACCAGCACGAAACTGTAAAGAAACGTTGCCAACAGATGCAAGGAAAGGAGAAAGAGAAAACAGGGACACACAAAGACAGGTGATAGCAAGAGTCACAATTATCTCTGATTATTTCTTGCTGGCCTTTCATGAGGCAGTATTCCAAAACAAGCCTGGGGGCTGCTTCTAAGGGATAATTAAGATGCTCCAAGAAAGAAGCCTATCACCTATAGGAATAAATTCAGCATAGGTTTGCACATTCACCAAAACAAACAAACAAAAATCCTAAGATCCAACAATCAAAAAATACTGAAAAAATCACCAGTAAACTTTCCAGCTGAAGTTCTAACAAACTGAGCAACGAATGGGATTCTTCCCATGAAAGCTCTTCTCTAGGACTCAGGCACACTGGCATCAGGGAGACGAGCAAAGCATGTTTTTTCTCAGCACCAACCACTCACTAATGCAGCCAAAGTGCAAGAAAGCCCAAGAAACTCTGCTTCCCAAAGCTAACGCTTTCTTTGCAGCCTCCACAGAATTCAGAGTCCAATGTTTGCCTGAAGATACAAAGAGTCAGTGCGAAAATCTCCAAAGAACTGGATGGCATTCATGTGTTACTGATCCACCCCGGAAAGTTGAGGGTGATTTACACCTCCCTTGATATGTTTTCCTCAAAGCAATACCTCAGACAGAACTATAAAGAAGCAAATTTCTGATTTAACAAGCATGTTAACTAAGATCACCTACTGAGGCCCAGCTATGAAATGAACACACCTAACACAAAGCTTCACTCTTCACAAATCACACTATGAATAAATCCCAGCTCCTCAAAGAAGACATCCACTAGGGCTACGCAGTATCAAAATAAGCCAAAGATTCACTGCAAAAAACTAGTGCTGGCAGTGGCTATTTCCACAGTTTCACTCCCGGATCTCCTGAGGCCACAAACGATGGGGCGGGGGGGTAGGTGCCAGCGAAGATGGAGCAAAAAGAAAAGAAAATGTAACTCAGAAGAAACGGCTCCATTACCAAGATAAGCATGTGCTTTGCATTAGACAGACATAACAAGGTGTTAATCTAATTTCAGAAATACCTCTGAGGGTTTTCGATCTTCATGTCTGGAGCACGAAGTCATCCGACGTCGAGATCTTGAATGCTGGGACCAAGCAGACAAACCTAGAACACAGAAATGGTCATTAGAAGACACTGCTGCCAGCTGCCAGCAAAAGTCTTCCCCTCCAAGCGCACACAAGTAGGCTGGCTCCTACTGGGATCTCCAGCGGGACCACACGAGTAAGGTAAGACACGGCAGCTTCTATGGCAAACCTCGGAAAGGCCCTTCCAAAATGAACCACAAGGGGAAGGGGAAAAAGAAAAAATGTTGAAAGGTTGCTCAGTCACTTCTGTGATCTCTTTTCTGTTTTGTTTTTGTTTTCTCTAGTGATATACATACTGCCTTAGCACTTCTCCCCCCAGCATGTGGGCAAAGCTACTTCATAACATCCTTTTCTGTGAGCAGCAATAATCCACTTTCTGCAGCTTAACAGCTGCTCAGGAAGTCTGCTGGTGGTCTGAAATGTAATCTTTGAAGACAACATACCTAATGTCCTATCTCTGCTGGCTACCCATTTGCTATCAGGCCGAGCCTTTCCAAAACTTAAAAGTGAAACAAAATGCTCACTCAGTAACACCCTGCAACAAGAGCTGTTACCTCTTCTCTGAAGGAAACCTCTCAGCTCAGTTATGTTATTTTTGGTCTATAGAATTATTCATTACATTCCAAACAAATTATATCTTTTTGCCTTGAAACCTTTGGACAGAGCCTCTGTCAGCTTCTCGAAATATTTTAACAGGAGGAAAGGGAAAAAGGGGAAGAAGGAAACGACACTCCATTGACAAGGTAGTGCTGTGACACCAGTGCACAACTCACAGTTAAACCTAGTCATCTCACACCACTGCAAACCAGCTCAGTTTAACGCAGCAAGGCTTGTATGTAAGGCAGGTATTTTCCAACACCAGCGACAGTTGCAAAAACCACAGCAGAGCAAACAACCCAAGGGTGCCAATGGTGAGAGCAGCACCTCCTCCCACCACGCAGCAGAAGCCTCTCGGAGGGCAGCGAGCGCAACGGCCCGCGTGCGGGGACGGGACGGGGTAGGTCTCTGTTGAAATCCAGAACTCACTTCAACGTGAAATGGCTGCATCCGACTTGCACTGGCAAGGCCCCGCTGAGCCCCCGGCCGCTGGAGGAATGCACCACGCTGTAGCTACGAGTGCCTGCTCTCTCCGCTCAGCAACACACTGAGGAACAGGCCCCGCTAAAACCACCCAACAGCGCCGTGAGTGTTGCACACCCCCGTGCAACGGTGCCAACTGGAGCAAGGTGTGCAGCAGCCAGCTACCTCTTCCGAGGCAGGAACACGGAAAGGATCATTTTAAACTAACATGAGTTCTTAACACAAAAGTTGGGGCTTTTTTTGAAAGATTAAAAAAAAAAGACACTTACCCTAGGCCCCTCTATTTAAGAGTTGTATTTTTTATGAAAGGAAAGAAAGCACAGAAAGTCACTGACTACAGTTTACTAACCTGTGTGGAAAGTCAAGTCTCAAGACCTGTACCCACTATCTCTTGAAAACTAAAGAAAAGCACAAGCAGCACCATGGGGTCCTGTTCCTGCCCCCCAGCCAACCTATGCCCCAGCTCCATGTAGGAAACACATACAAGGAGAGTAAGTAAAATCAAGTGAAAAAAGTGTCAGAGACATACAACTAAAATCCCTAGCAGGAAAAGCACAGCAGATTTTACCTGTAATCCAGCAACCTTATGCATTAGCATTTTAACACTTGGACAGGTGTGATTTCTTTAATCAGTGGATTCACTGTAAGACATACAGTTCATAAACACTCACACAGGTCAGCCTTGAGTTTTGGGGGTTCTGACACTTTTTTCCACCTGCAAGACATGAGTATCCAAGCAGCTCTCTGCTCACCGAGCTCTGCAGATCCCTGGGGATTCCTCACTCCCTCGTGGGGCTGGCCAGGCCCGCACAGGCACCTGGGCGTGTGTCCACATGGGGGTGCAGAGCAACAACCCCCATTTCTGTCCCTCAGGAGGCTGCAATGAAGCTGCTCTAAGTAATGCGTGCACCTGGCAAAGCTGGAGCCGCAGCAGGGTGCTGCACTCGGGATCTTCTTCCATGTGCCTTAGCTCAGGTCTGGTGACAACTCAACACAGGTAGAAGGGTGGCAGTATTCAAGCACACAGGCTCTTTTGGGGTGCTTTTTTTCCCCAAAAGTAGATATCGAAAGACGGATTTCCAGGTGTCTCTCATGCCACAGAGAAGCTACAAACGTGTAGAGTAAAATAATCCTTACCATGTCTTCCGCCTCCATTTCTCCCCTCTGTTACCTGCAGATGCTACATGTCACCAGTGTCTTAAATGTCGTCTTCTGGATACGGACACAGTGCAAGTTCGCCAGGGCTGGGTCACTGGATTAGCCACCCGCTTCATGCAAGTTAAGAGCAAAATCTTATCACTTCCTGAACTACAGAATCCCCACTGCTCTTCTTAAGGGCTATATGAAATCTCACTCTATAATGTTTTCATATGGAAGGGACAGCTCAAACACAGCCAGCCTTCTTCATGATATATGAGCACTTTTTCCATGCCAAATAACTTCCTACAATGAGCATGGAAGAAAGAGTTCCTTGCATAGTTCTCTAATAGCTGTTTCCTTGCACATACGACTGGTGAATGAACAGTGGAAAAGCTTTTAATAAGTTATTAAAGAGACTGTTGTATTTTTCTGGGCAATGTAATGTGGCTGTACATAATACTATGAGAAAAAGGTGGAAAATTTTCTCAGGGGACGGAGATTTTACTACCCGCTAAGATCTGTAACTGTAGCTAACAGGTGACCTTTGACAAGGGCTTCACTTCAGTATGGAAAACATTTACTCACTGAATAAACAAAACCCAACTATAAAGCACACATTCACAGACTCAAATAACCAGCACTTAAGACACAAAGAGCAAGAAGCTAAAGGAGGCAGCCAAATGACACTAGGCTCTCCAGTCCAAATGCTCTTAAATTTAACTACTTGTATAATCTCCAAGAGGAGCTTCAACTCTTTCACTAGACTCAAGGGCAGAGTTTTGCTGCCTTCAGCAGGGCCAAGACCAGGTCACTAAATTATCCCAAGTTTCTTCCATTACCAGGCAATCCACGGGCTCTGAGTACACCCACAGAAGCACAGGAGGAAAACCAAGGGTGTGATTGATCTTTAAAGCATCATTTCCATATTTTGGCACTAAATCCAGGGGAGGAAGAAAATTCACACGCAATTACTGCTACTCCAGTGAAAAATGATCCAATTTTATGTCTAAACACCCATAGTAAGAACCACTCATGGAGTATGTGGAAGAAACAATATGTTGAGATCAAAATGAACACAGGATCTGAAACAGTTCTTTTGTGTTATAAAAACACATGCACCTAGAGTAAAATACCTAGAGCATTTTAGAAACACTTCAAATTCTTTTCAACAAAATGATCCCCTTGCACTATTCAAAATACTAAATGACTATGTTCACCAACAGCCTTAGTCCAGTCCAGACAAGGACCACCAAGCTTAGCCAAAACACTAACGATCAAGACAGAATTAAACGGAATTTTGCTAAAATAACAAAAAAAGATAAGAGAGATCTAAATTACTGGGATTTTGAAGATGCCTGGTAATGAATTCCCAGTAATGAAAAGAAAATTCCTATGGTAACATTTACCTCCTGGGGGAAATTAGTTCTGTGGAAGATGTGTGAGATGTTAGAGAGCATATACTCACAAAAAAAATGTTAACAGCAAATATGAAAAATATAGCGCTCCAGAGCATGGAACTAGGGAAAAAAAAAAAAAACCATACAACTCTATCATCATTAGATATCAGGTGTAAAAGGTGTCTTATTAAGTGACTATCCTTTCACACGGTGGCTCAAGCTAAGGATGAACATGGCTGGCATCACTGCGCCAGGGGATGGGCGCCAGTCCATCCCAATCCTTCTATTTAAGGTTCTCCTGAATGTCCTCAGCGTTTGTCTGTCCCTGACGATTCTTTCAACAACACACACAGAATATGTGAAAAACACCTCACTGAGAGCAAAGAGAGAAGAATCAGATCCATCAATACTACAGGTCTAAGTGGATAAATTTGCATTTGTCCACTTAAAAACAGAAAGCAAAAAAATCCTCAACAACTGGCTAGGCACGATTCACAGCAGCTTGGTAACCTCTTGTCAAGAGAGGCAAAGAGCTGATGTGGTGCTGGAAAGGAGACTTTTAAGTCTCAAGCAGGAAAACTTTCCGTTCCCCTAAACTGCTATATAAAATGTAATACTGTGAATACTGCGTTTTTATGATGCTCTTAGAAGGTGTATATAATATTTACACCTCCTGATGATAAAAGAAAACAGTCAAGGAGTGAATTCTTTTTCCGTATTTGCAAAAACGTACACGTGCCAGAAGGAAGAAACCCAATCAATTCTAACTGTATCAATTTGCTAAATGATCTGTCAAAAACAGATGAAAAAACCCCAAGCCCACAGGCAGCGCGGCGGGGCCCAGCTCATCGGGCGCGTGTGCCAGGCTGCGGCTCCTGCTGAGCGCTGCCGCTTCCAGCTGCCCGCGCGGCTCCTCCGCGCGCTCCGAGGAGAACCGGGCACTGCTGCCAGCACCTGTCAGGAAGATCTGCAGCCTGAGGAGGAAGCCGAGATGCTCCGAGCCTCCCTGGCCTACATCTCTGCAGTCAGGCTCCTGTCACTTAGACATAGCTCCACATGCCTAGACCCAAATTCCAGCACAAATGAATCAGGATATTAAAAAAGACCAAAAAAAAAAAAATCCACAGTACTCTGAAGGCTGTTTTCTAGTATGTTAGGTATAAAAAGAGCTGTCTGTGCACTTATCTTTGGGCCTTATCACAGAGAAAGCAGCAAGTGTGCAAACACAACCTGCAGTGAGGTGTCACATATCCAAGTTGCCCTTCTCGTGTTTCTGCTGCTGGAGGAGCTGCCTGTCTAATCTCCTCTTCCCCTTACATAAGGGGGGATTATTACGCAATGATCTCGCTCCAGATCAAAACAGAAGCAGCAACTGCCTTTTACCCCATCACTGCTGATGCTC